GCCGTAGGCATGTTCTGACGAACTTCGCGTTCGATTGCATAAAGCAGCAGCAGCAGCAGCAGCAGCAGCAGCAGCAGCAGCAGCAGCAGCAGCTTTAGCCGGTCGTATCTGTCTCTCTCTCTCTCTCTCTCTCTCGCGCGCGCGGACCACACACACGCTACACGCGAATAACTTCTTTCGGCCGCGAGTCGGCCGAGTATCTCGAATGATATGAAAGTTACAACCTGGACAAATTTCGATCGATGCCGCTTGAACATTCGAGTCCGCGAGTCTTGAAATTTCCTCCTCATAAGTATCGCAATTGGCGCGAAACACGCGCGCGCGGCCGGCGCGTTCTTGCGACCGCGGATGGCGGGCTCTTCGACGACGACGACGCGGATGTTCGAGATTTACGACTGGGTCGCGAACACAATCGGCACGATCGACGCGCCCGCGACGGCGGTGTTCGCGTCTCGCTCGCGTGCGGGACGACCGAGGAACCTCGTCGCTTCATCCGACGAGCGAGACTACTTTACGCGGCACACCACGTCGCGATCCCACGGAGACGCAATCGCCGCGCCGTCCGGACGCGGCCGGTCGATCGATCGATGAGAGACGCGAGGGACGACTTCGTACCCCTCCGCGACAACAAGGGAGGAGGCAGGTGACTCGCGTCGAGGGACCGAGGGACACGTCGTTCGTCCATCTTTCCGGCGACCTTCTTCGAGCGCGAGATCGAGACGGAGACGGGGGGGCCCCTCCCGTGTTCCGCGTGGAGGAAATCTGCCGTGCGCGATCGTCGGGGAGAGGGGAAATGAGAGAACTCGAGGCTAGGCAGGTACCGTTGCAGACGCGCGATTGTTGAAGCACTGTCGATTTTCGTTCTTTTCTTTTCCCGGGGGAGACGAGCGGGACGGAGAAGGCACGGCGGCACGGAAGCTACTTCGAGTCGAAATCGCATTGTTGTCCTCCGTTATTCGGCGGAGATCGAGCTCGGGGCCTCTTTTATGCGCGCATTTGCAGTCGCGCGCGCGCGCGCTCTCCCGACGATTCTCCTTCCGTCCCGGAGACAATCGGCGGATAATCGAACGATTGTCGCGTCGTCGTTATTCGAAATCGCTGCGGGGGGAACGCGCGAAGGTCCTCCGAATCCCCGGCGCTCGGGACGCGCGTTTGCGAGACGCCCGAAGAAAAAAAATCGGGGCATCCCGTGAACGCTGTCTCGCGATGTCTCTCGGATCCTCGCGCGTACAGTCGTCTGGAAAATGTCTCTTCGGCTGCGGCACGCAAGGACGATCGTCGTGCCGCGCGCGCGCGCGCGACGAGGAGTCGCGCGAGCGTGTAAGAGAGGCCTCGGGGAACTCAGAAGAGCCCTCCTTTGGTCCTTTCGCCCGTTCGTGCCGGTGTACATCCTACCGTCTCTCCCTTCGTCGCGGGCGATACGCTAAACAATCCGGCGAGTGACGGATTGGTCGAATATATACGGGGTGGGAAACAGAAAAATCTTTAAGAATTAAAAGAAGATATATTATATTAAAATATCTGTGATGTAAAAAGTAACAAAATTTTGATGTATATTTTTCACAAATTATTGTAACCAGCTAGTGTATATGTAATAAGATTATGGATATATTATATATATATATATTATATATATATATAAAAAAGACTATTGTAATTACGGTGTGCGAAGACAAAGGTAAGACGAGTAAGAGAGAGAGAGAGAGAGAGAGAGAGAGCGAGAGAGAAAGAGAGAGAGCGAGAGAGAGAGAGAGAGAGCGAGAGAGAGAGAGAGAGAGAGAGAGAGAGAGAGAGAGAGAGAGAGAGAGAGAGAGAGAGAGAGAGAGAGAGAGAGCAAACTGAGAGAGCCAAGGGGACAAAGCGAGCGTGCAAAAGACAGGGAGGGAGAGTAAAGACAATTGAAAGGGAGGGAGAGACAGAGATAGGTAGATAGGTAGATAGATAGGAAGAAAGGGAGACGGAAGAAGCGAGATCGCGAAATTACGTTGATCCACACCGGTGGTCAGACGGGACCAAGATGGCGGGCATCGCTCGGAAAAGTCGGGCCCAAAGATTCCCGTTTTGAC